CTAATGGCAGGAGGCTGCCAGCCAGCCAAGGCGCTGGCACCTGCAGCCCCCCGCAGAGGCCGGGAGCCCAGCCCGGCTTCTCAGTCACTCAGGGGCGCGGGAGGTGCAGTGAAGGGCATGGGGCAGGTGTCACCTGCACCTGCGGGAGGGTCACCGGCTTCCCGCCTGTGGTATATCCACGGGCTGACTCCGGGAACACCCACGACACAGGCTGAGCTGGTTCGCCTCAGACACACTGGGGCCGAGGGGGAAGGAGTGGCCCAGGTGTCCTGCCCGGCAGGCAAGGGTCCCTTCCGTCGCAGGGCCAGCTCTCCCAGCCGCCCGGACAGCACCTGGGCTCGGGGGCAGCTGCGGGGCAGCCACGGGCCGTCTGCGGCGGTCCTGTTACTGGCCCTCTCCCCGGGGCGGGTGGGGGGAGTGAAGGAACCAGCCCTGACGTGTCCACACGGAAACTTTCAGAGCAGGTTTATTTTGGCTGAATCTGTCCTTGTAGCTCCAATCCAGCCCCAAAGGGCCCAGGGCCACAAATCAGGGCTGTTGCACCGCAGAGCTCAACACGATCACGAGACGGTTTAGGGACACAAGCATCCGCAGGGCGAGCCCATGGCAGCCTGACCAGCACCAAGGGACCAGGACCCACTAGGCGTCCTGGTCTCCTCTCCGACCAATAAAACTCTGGCTCGGCCCTAAGGCCAGGCTCGCTGTCCCTCACCCGGGCAGGAGGCCCGCCTCCTTCTCCACCAGCCGGCTGACTGTGCGCAGGGCCAGCGGCAGGGCCGTGTTGGTGTCGCGGTGATAGCGGGGCTCGGACACCTCCAAGCTGGGCGTGAGCACAAACTGGGCCACACTGGGCATCTTCAGCAGGTTCAGCAGCTCGGTGGCCCGCACGCCTATGGCGCCTGCAACCTCCTGACGGTGCAGGGGGCCCACGGCCGGGCTCTGGGCCAGTGTCCTCATCTTGGACAGGAACAGACCGACCCTGGGGATGCAGAGGCCTGTCAGTCTGCTGCAGACGCAGCCCTCGCGTGGAAAGGGCTTCTGTGGAGGGGGCCCAGTCACCCGAGGCTCCCAGCCAGTGGGGCTTCGGCCTGGAGAAGTGAGGTGGCAGAGCCCACACAGTCTACACCACCTGTATGTGGCCAGAACCCCTGGGCGCTGATGCTGTGACCCGGCCTCTGGGACTGGGATGCCCCCAAAGCCACTTTCCTATCCCCACAGGGAGCTGGCAGGTTCCCTCTTCCCACCCCTAACCTGTACCTGGGGATCAGGTCTTGGCTCCGGGAGGCCAGCTTAGTCAGTGTGGACATAAGTGCAGTGATGAGCTGTGGGGGACACTTGGGAAGGGTGGCTGAGGGGCGGGACTGGGTGACCTCGAACAGCAGGGCCTCCAGGGCTTCGAAGAACTTGTTAATCTGGTCCACGGTGCACCGCCGGTCCCAGCTCACCGACAGGTACTCCCCAATGGCCCACACCTACGGGGAGAGCACCTCAGCCCCAGCCAGGCCTGCCGGTGTCGGGGGGGCGGCCACCCGGCCTTACCACGGAGGTGAGCATGCTCCCACCGCTGCACATGCCGCTCCCGCTGCCCACGAACTCCAGGAGCTCCCTTGCCAGCTCGACCACCAGGGAGGGGTTCCGCTTGCACAGGGCCAGGAACTGGGAGCTCAGCACCCTGTCCAGAGAGGACACAAGGGGGGGTGCTGCAGACTGTGGGCCCCAACCCTTGTGGACCCCAACCCACAGCCCCACCCAGGACAAGAGCCAGGAGGTGGACGGGAAAGACAGTCCAGGTGGAGGCAGACAGCTCCGGCCTCTAAAGGAACCTCTTGCCCACTGGTGGGGAGGCTGGGCCAGCTCTGTCCTCGGTCCACAGAGTGAAGGGCAAGTGTCAGAGGAACCAGGAGGGACTCACCCATGCACGGCAGCCTCGTACCCGGGGACCTGGTACAGCGAGTCACCTCTCTCCAGGAACAGCTGTGCCAGCTGGATGGTCAGGGCCCCGTCGGCAAACTGGGGTCAAGAGGGAGAGACAGATTGAGTCCCTCTAGCAAACTGCTGAGCTCTGCTCTGCTCCTGCTCTCTCTGCCGCCTGGGGGCCCACTCGTGAGCCCCGTCCTGGGAAGGGGGATGAATGACCGGGTGAGAGGGATGGGGCCTGGATGGGGCTGGAGCCTTTCCTCTGTGGCTGTCACTGAGGCTCCACAAAGGTCAAGGGCAGGGCCACAGTCCCTGCTCCAGGTGGGCTGGCCCCCTGCTGGGAGGTGTGAGGTTGGGGCTGGGGGTGGGGG